TCCAAAAAAACCATCACACGTTGCCCTTTCGCCAAATTCAGGCATAACCGTGGTGGATCAGCCTATCAGTAAGAAAATGACTTTTGCCACAGCATGTATTTCAAGCCAGCACTAACCTGGGGAAACAGTTAACCCTAATTTCTTTAATGTTATAGGACATTTGGTTATGTCAATTTCTTAGTATTGTTTCCAGTTAAACTGGAATGGTTTAGGCTTGTTTGAAATGGTATATATGTTTAACTATTAATAAATAAAGCATAACAATATACTTTTTTTTTTTTTTTGCGGTACGCAGGCCTCTCACTGTTGTGGCCTCTCCCGTTGCGGAATACAGGCTCCAGACGTGCAGAGTCAGCGGCCGTGGCTCACGGGCCCAGCCGCTCCGCGGCATGTGGGATCTGCCTGGACCGGGTTACGAACCCGTGTGCCCTGCGTCGGCAGGCGGACTCTCAACCACTGCGCCACCAGGGAAGCCCCAACAATATACTTTTAATAAGTATATTATATACTTACATGATATTCATAGAATATATTAACGTATCTATAAACGTTGGGCTGGCCAAAAAGTTCGTTTGGGTTTTTCTGCAAGCTGAGGAAAACCCGAACGAACTTTTTGGCCAGCCCAACATAAGAAGTCATCAGCTGACTGTGAGCCCCAAGTTATCCCCTCTCATATGGGGGATATGGATTTTTTTGGTATACAATATAGTGATTCATAATTTTTAGAGGTTGTACACCATTTAAAGTTATTACAAAATACCGGCTATATTCCCTGTGTTGCACAATATATCCTTGTACCTTATTTTATACCTAATAGTTTGTGCCCCTTAGTCCCCTATACTGCCCCTCCTCCCTTCCCTCTCCCCTCTAGTAACCAGTAGCTTGTTCTCTATATCTGTCAGTCTGCTTCTTTTTTGTTGTGTTCACTAGTTTGTTGTATTTTTTAGATTCCACATACAAGTGGTATATACAGTATTTGTCTTTCTCTGTCCAACTTATTTCACTGAGCTTAATGCCCTCCAAGTCCATCCACGTTGCTGCAAACGGCAAAATTTCATTCTTAAGAGGAACATGGGGGTTTAATAAACCGAACTTGCTCAAGGCTCAGCAGAAGTTCTAGGCCCTAAGCGAGTGGTTTGAGCATGAGCAATTAAACCTGAAAATAAACATTTTATTAAATGTAAAACCAGATTTATTAAAAGTAATATATACCAAACTACTACTTCACTGATAATTGAATTAATACACTGTAATCTGTCTTTACTTTGCCTCAATGTGTTCTTTACGAAAGTGAAAACACACCACCTTGTAAAAATGCGCATTATCCTTAATCCATCGCGTCAGCCTCGTTATTTAAATCATTGTTGAAAGAAAAAGTAGCCTCACTACTGTTCTTCTATTAAATGAGTATAACTTTAAATGGGCTGCTTCCAACAGAAGAGAGCTCTGACTCTGCCTTCTGAAAAGGCTGCAGTTGCAAGAAAACAAACATCGAAGAGCTCCAGTTACTTCCTAATGTTCACTTAGCATATGTAGAAATCAAACCTCAGAAACTGTAATGTCCCTTTCTGTGAAACGACTGCCAGTTCAACTCGGTTTTCAAAATCTGTGTTGAATAACGATTTTTAAAAAGCAGTGTAAAAAAACAATGTAAAAGCTTTACCAAGCACCTGGTGAGTATACTGATGTTGGTTTTAATTCTACTGACATAAAAGATACGTGCTTTAACTTGTTTTGTCTTTAAATACTCTCACTGTAATATGGTAGGAACTGGTAAGGAAGCAATCTATTAAACCTAGGTATTTATATTACCAACACATAATCTTGAATACCTTTTAATCAGAAAACAGCTTGCGTAACTTCTTCTTGGTTCCTTTCATTCCCTCCCTTCATTTTATTAAAATAAATCAGTAAAATGATCCAAAATTTAAGACAACAGCAAGGCCTGTAAAAGCACATTTCAGACTTAAATTTCTGTGGGAAATTTTTTCCTTCCCATTCTCTCTGCCCTGCGATTTCATTTTTCCCTTTTGTTGGTGACACCCAATAAGTCCAAGTTTTAACATTTGCAGACATTCATTTCTCTGTAGGTTAAAAGTTAATAATTTATTCAAATAGCTAATTCCCGAGTTTAAAGTTCTCATGTAACGTAGTTTTTGCTAAAATCTCAGCAGCATAATTCCCCAAGCTTAAACTATTGAATGTGATTGCCTCTGTGCAAAAAGCCGCATACTATAAATAGTTTCTAACTGTCATAAAACAGTATACATATATAAGAGACTATATAGATAAAAGATTTTACTCATAAAAGATATTGCTAAAATCTATAGCTCCCCTATAATCATATACTGTTGAATCTCTGCAAACTGGCTAGTTCTCAGATAATCCCACTTTCTTAGCAAGCTTTGCATGCTCTCTTACTGCTGATCAGAAACCTTAAAAAACAAATCAGAAGCATTTTAATGAAGTAGATGAAAATAGGCAAAAGTTCTTGAAGCCCTACAGAAAAATAGCAGATATGATCAGGGCCTGATGTCACGTCTTTCATACCCTAATAGCCTCACTTGTCCTATTTTCACACACTCTGTGATAAGTAGGTTCTTCCAGTTGTCGGATAAGACCTGAGATTTAAAAAGTGAAAACTCTGCCATAATATGCTTTTAAAAATCTTGAATACCGTAAATGAACTGGAAGAGACACTTGTCTAGAACGTGATTTAGTTTTTGCCATAAAAAAGCAAACTAAAACCTGATAAGCAGGACATCCCTGGTGGCACAGTGGTTAAGAATCTGCCTGCCAATGCAGGGGACACAGGTTCGAGCCCTGGTCCGGGAAGATCCCACATGCCGTGGAGCAACTAAGCCCGTGAGCCACAACTACTGAGTCCACATGCCACAACTACTGAAGCCTGCGTGCCTAGAGCCCATGCTCCACAACGAGAGAAGCCACTGCAATGAGAAGCCCACGCACCGCCATGAAGAGTAGCCCCCGCTCGCCGCAACTAGAGAAAAAGCCCGCGTGCAGCAATGAAGACCCAACACAGCCAAAAAAAAAAAAAAAACCCTGGTAAGCAAAAAGCGCATTGACTTCATTCACTTATAAGACACCAAGAACTCCCTATGACAGATAGGTTGCAGCCCAGCCGGTGGACTGGGAAAGTGTAATATACCCCACACCGTCTTGGGGTGAAGCAGTATAACAGCTCCTACAACACCCCATGTTCCCTCTGGGGCCAGATTCCACACAGATGACCAACGGCAACAGAGTCAGAGAAAAGCTACAGAAAGTAACCAAAAATACCACTTTCCCAGAAATACTTGCCATCACAATCACTGCTCTACCAGGAAAAGAGAATTTGAAGAATTACCCCTAAAACTGTGAAGCTGAGATTCCTTTATCATTCAATAAGAAATTTAAAAAGGAAAAAAAAAAAAAAAAGATTTCACTTTCCTAACGCATGGCTACTCCTCTGCTCAGTTGTTCTTAAAAATAATTTATGTAAAGCAGGATTTTCTCTAAATATACCGTGCTCTCCCATGTACACATTGAAAATATTTGCATACAGCGAGTGTATGCACTGATACACACATGGTAAAAAGTTAAAAAATATGGACTGCATAAATCAGTAGCTGATTTTAAATATACACCAACTTAAACAGATTTGTTTGCAATTTCTGAATTCCTCAGGTAGGAAAGATCTTTCTTGCTGGCTGCAATTCTAGAAGATGTTTATACTCTAGAGGGTGTGCAAAAATGCTTCCCCATATAAACAAAGAAAGAACGGTCCCAGGATCTCGGTATTCTAACCTTGCCTTTGCTATGAAATATCCACCCCATGAATGTGAGGAGACTGGTGGAATCAGTCTGTCATGCTACAGTAAACATGATATTTTGTGTGCTGCCCAAGACATTTTTTTTTTCTCACGAATGTAAGTCGCCTGCCATTTGTTATGAGATTTTTTTCCCCGATTGACACCCCATTATGTATATTCAGTCAAGGCTCAAACAAGATTTCAAGTGATCAATATACTATTTGTGCCAAAAGTCTATTAGCCGCTCTAGCAATAAACTCTGACAGCAAAACCGAAAATGGAGGAGTATTTAGTGAACTGAATTACATGGAAATCCATGTTTGGGGCAAGGAAACAGAGACAGGAGGCAGAAAAGCACGGGGAAGAGAAGGCAGCAGAGATGTTTTTCCTAATAAAAAATCAGCTTTCTAGAGCCTGACCGTTGATGAAATGCATTAAATGCCTAAAGATTTTTCCAAAATAGCTTAAATTACACGTTGAGGTCTCTACAGAGGCAGGTAAGGATCTTCCCCTTGGTCCCTTTCTGAGAATAGAGAGTAAGGAGCCATCCTCAGGAAATCTGTAAAATCCCCCACCATCCAATGTCTTTGTGGAAAGAGTAATGGCCTCCTGCCTATTTTAACACTCGCCATTTTATAACTGAAGTGTACCAGATGCCAACAGTGTGACCTTCATCAGCTGAGCTAAAGAAGTATTTTGCTTAATGGACGTGGTGGGAAAGCTAGCTCGATAGCAGCCATAGGATTTCTTCTGGCACAAAAGAATGCTGCTCCTGTGTGTACCTACATATCAAAATCTGTTTGCTTGAGCCAGGAGAAGATTAGAATAGGCAGGGCCGCCCAGAAAGATGTGACGTCTGGGGAAGTGTCGAAAGTGTCAGTTCAGTATTGCCCAGACAACAAAGGTTCCTAATTCTATTACCAGGAAAATAATGTGGGGAGGAGGGATAGAGAAAAATACCAACGGACGGCTGTCATGGCAGTTGTATAAAGTTACATTGCTGTACAGTGAACGAATGTTGGTCTGAGGTGGGTATCCCTCCACCTACCCAAGGGGGTGATATCACCTCCTCCTAGCCTTTTACTTATGAGGCTAGAGTCTTGGTCAGAAGGGATGAAAATGGGAAGAACTGGTCTGTACAGAGCTCCAGAATTACCAATGTTTGATTATTTGGTTTGCCGAACTTACATTTTGAACCACTCGCAGGCAGAAGAGCAGAGTCACCATCCACTGTATCAAAGGAACACCTGTAAGATCAACATATTTAGATCATTAGCAGTCTGGGTAGTTTCCGCATTCCATTAGTAGCAAAGATGATTTACCATAATTTGACCAAAGGAGATGCATCCCGAGCTACATCTGGACAAAAGCTATTTCTCGTGGTATTTCTAGTTCTAAAACCTAGAGCATGACTACTTTTAAACTGGCAACCTAAAGGAAGACACACTGTAAAAAATATACTTTACTCATAACAGGAACTATTGTATGTGTTCCTTGCCTCTTCTTGACGGTCCTAAGCACTAAGATACCCAAGCAAGGCAGAATCAGAGCCCAACATCCACCAGGGAAGAAACAAAAACTCTCCCCACTACCTCAAGTCTCTGTAAAATAAGTAACTGAATAATTCTAAATAGCAATTCTAGTTTGTGTAGGATGCATGCATATGTGGCAAACTGTGCATACCAAAGTGTATTCTTTCATTTTGCAGAGATGAATGCGCAAGTATTTAATGTCACATAATTTTAGGAGCAGCGATTTCCAAATGGTTTTTTTTAAAGGCAGCTCCCTACGAATACTCAACCCAACCCAACAGTCACGTACCCCCAAATGTACCAATTTTTCATTTTTACATAAAGCCAAAGATATTACTAATGTTACTAATCTTACAACTCCCTGTAATAAGTGGATTAGCAAAGTGTGTTCTCTTTTATTTCCTTCAAAAATACACATAACCTCACATTCTCAAAAGGGAAACAGGTAGATTTTTGGAGGCCAACTCTAAAGGAAGTCAGATATCAGACAGCTCTCTCCATCCTATAAGGCTCTCTAGTGTCCTAAACAAGCTTGGTGTACGTTAACACTATCTCGTATGGTGAAAAGTGAGATTTGTTGGCGGGCCAAAGAAGCCCAGGTGTTTGTGCAGGCAGCACATTCACTTCACCGGGAGGTGGGTGTTCTGGAATGCTGCTCATACAATGCTGTGTACACATTTACTGGCGGAACTCAAGGAGGCGCTGTTCTCGAACCTTCCTGCACTGCAATTAGCTATGCAAGTGGGCAGAGCTAACTTCCACAAAATAACCACTGCAAATCTTAGGACAAGTCCCTCTTTGAAACCAGGCTACCAGGGCGCCAGTGTCTGAGCAAAGCACCAGAGACGTCCTCGCAATTTGATTCTTGAAGCTGCAGATGAAATCTATTTTGATTTTAGAATGACCCGCAATCACAGGCAATTTACCTGATTGTGTGTTCCTGGTGAAATCGCAAAGCCTTCTAGGTGCTAGGATTGATAGGTGTGGTTTGTGGATTTAAAAGAGGGGAAAGATAGTATTAGAAAGAAGGGTAAGGAGCGGAAGGTGGCTTCAGCAGCTTGGAAGTTACATTCGTTCCAAACAGAACATGCGCTTTTCACCTGGAGTCTCACTTCAGACTGGAATAACTATTGATACAGTTATTCTGTTATATAAATGGTCACCACATCCAGATTTAGAAGTGCATTAATTCACTCCAGCCATCAGGGAAGAAGTAAAATTTTCTCCTCTTTAAATGATTTATTTGCCTTTAGAAAATGGTAACATCAAGTGGGCGTCCTTTTGAAATTTCTTTTTCTTTTCTTTCTTTTTTTTTTTTTTTTAAAGAAAAGGGGAGAAGAAAGTCTTGGTATCTCTGTTCCTCATGGTCAGACTCGCTGTCTGCAGTAGACGATGCAGGTTAGCATGGCTAGGACAATAATGAATTGTGAATTTATAATGAATGCCTCTTTCTTCAGAGCAGCTCAAAACATTGTCTTTCCCATAGATTTGAAATAAGGTTTGAAATCTCCTCGCCTTGTTGCAGAAATGGCCTTCGTCTAATCTGACATGACACGACTGGCTTCCGATTGAAGGACCAAGGAGCGGAAGGTAAACTCATTCATCTGTTTCCTGCTGCCATTGTGCATCTCTGTTCTGAGATGCCCAGTGCTTGTCTATTCCACAAGCAGGTTTATTGCCTGAAAATGAAACCTCTCTTTCTAAAACACTTACTTTTATAAAGAAATTCTATTCAGAATACCAGAGCAAAAATAACTCTTTTTGGCTTCACTAAATGCTTTGGTATTTGTCCTTCCAAGCACGTCTTTTAACCCCAGCATCTTAAAATTGGGAAGCAGCACCCACTTCAGATCCCTTTTCTATCCAAACCAACCTCTCAAAGTTAAATGGATATTTTAACAAGCTGACAAGTGAAACCACATAACACGGTGCTTTTTCAAGACCTCCCTATGGATTAAAGCCTAACCCCCCCCCAACCTTTTTGTAATTATTTAAATAAACGATAACACCCAAGTCTAGAAACTGCCTCTCTGTGCACCACTGCAATTGTTGAATTCCTTTCCTGGCCTTTCATGCAGATGCTCAGAAACAGGGTGGGGCTCCCTGGTCCTGCATGCCATGTTAAGGGAGTCTGTGCTGCAAAGAAAACTCAATTAATCATTCATTGTCCAGTTTTTCGGCATCCTTCACAAATACCTTTGAAATAATCATATTGGTAGGAATGCCACTATTTCTAATGTCAAGATTTAGGTGAAAATCTCTGGTGTCAACCCAAATGTTCTGTGCACAAGCATGGATGACAGGTACTGAAATGAAGGTGACAAGTCAAGGAATCGGGAAAAACCTCCCTGAAGAAAGGATGTGAGGAGGAGACGAGATTTTCTGTTTATGGATATCTGTGTTAAAGATTTTATTTTCCTTAAAAAAAATTTTTTTTTTTACAGGTATAGTTATTTAGATTGTATAAGTAAAATCCAACCCTTCTAAGCCATGCTGGTTTCCTTATGAGTCAGCAGGCCATGAGCAGTTCAGACAGTTCAGCCCAGAGTAAACGGGCAAGAGCTGTCTATGGACACACCCATTTTGCTAATCCTGACTCCGATTTTTTAAAAAATCGTCGTTATGCTACTTGGTGTCTGACCGCAGAACTTGCATCAAAAGCTGCACCCTTCCACCTCCACCTACAAGGACTCAGGCTCCCATGTGGGATCACTTCCCTTCAGCTGTTTTACTGAACACAATTGCATTTGGGCTCATTTCTTCTTTGATGGGCAACTCCTGTTTCTCTCTAGTCTGCACGTTATCAGCTTGACATTCCCTTCAGAGGCGTATGACAAATCAAATTGGCCATCATCACATTCATCGAAGAAGGAGTTTTCTATTTCCAAGGACTGGTTTCCTCCACTCCTCTTACAATCATGGACACACCAAAAAAGCCCATGTCTTGGGTTGGTTTTTTTTTTTTTTTTTTTTAAAGGGGGGAGGGTGGCAAGAGATACTGAATAGATACAACTCACTCTAAGGACAGAAAAGCAATCAACAGCCAGAAAGCAAAGGGCACAGTCTTGGAATGTGATTTTAAAATACCTGGTGCCTACACCTTAAACTTAAAGCATTTATTCAAAAATTATCACTAGCTTTGAAAAACTTTACCAAAAAATGAAGTGAATTATTTTCATTATTTCATTATTTTCCTGTTCCATATCTTTTTGCATGATTCAGCACTTTTAATACACAATCCTGCCAAGAAGTTAAAAGGTAAATGGAATATTTTCTGGGTGCCTTAAAGCCTCATACACTCTTTACTGAAGCCACCTGCTCTCCTGCTACTACAGGAGCATATCAGAAATACGGAGGTCACCGGTTTGCTGCTGTAACACCCAGTGACCACCTCGGAGCAGCGCAATTTCCCTCCTGGGTATCTAAGTGGCTTTGGGGGACGGAATGACCCGCCGCAGAGGCTTCGCCCCATCTCGGGCTCACCCTACTCGCCCGGGAGCCACGCACACACAGGCAAACTCGAATGCACCTGTCTAACCCCCATCAGCTGTAGCTACACCCTCCACCTGATGTGTCTTTTCAACCTTTGTCAAGTATCTCAAGACAAGAATTTCCCGAAGCCCTTCCCCCCAAATCTAGGTTTTCGCTGGAGCCCCCAACCCGCAGGAGCAGCAAGAGGAGGCCGAGATGGAGAGGGACCTCGGACTCGCTCTGCAAACTTAACCTGCGCATCGCACGGACCCGCGTCCTCATCTGAGGACCCGCACGTACCCCTGCACTCTCCCCACAGCATCCCACGCCCACACCGCACACTCACCTGACGGTAGGCGAGCCGCGCGCCACCGCGGTCCAGCCTCCCGTCACGACCTCCACGGGCGAGCCTCCGCGCTGGGTGCCGGGGACCGCCGGCCGGCTCCGGGCAGGGCGGCGGGACACTGGGAACCGGCGGCAGGAGTGCGCCCGGGCGGGTCCGCGCCGAGCCCGAGCGAGCGGGCGAGCGGGGCGGGAGGGGCCATTTGTAAGCGAGCAGACGCTACCACCGCCCCTTACTCGCGGGGGGCGGGGGCGGGCGGTCAGGTGACGGCGGCCCACCCTCCGCCGCCGAGCCGGGTGGTTCCTGCCCAGGAGGAGCCCCCTGGCGCGCTCTGATTGGAACTCCCGCCGCAGTGGCGGGGGAGGGGGACACGTGACAGCCCGGCCCCGCGGCCCGGCGCGCCCCACCCACGCTGGGCACCCCATCTTCCTCCTGGAAAAGCCGGGGGACACAGGGAAGGCGGGGGAGCACACGGGGTGCAGGAGAGCCTACCAACCCTTTTTGCCGCCGCCCGGGGTGCTCCCGGCCGCTGAACCCGGAGAGGAAGGGTTCCCCTGCGGCCAGCCGGCCTTCAAGGTCCTCCCACGCTGCCCTGGACCGCAGTACCCTCCCCCACAAGTCCAGGCACAGGCACTCGGTATAGACCATCGCCACTCCATGGATGCCGGTGGCACTTAGGAGTGTGTTTTGTTTTGTGTTTTTCTCTCTGCACACCGGCACAATGTGCCAGAGAGAACCCACGACGAGGCATTGCAGACACCGCCCAGCTCGGAGGCCCGGGAGACCCCCGGGGATGTCTGATGGCCCCCGAGCTAGTCGCAGAGGGTCTCGGGGCCTACTTCCTCTGGAGGAGGAAGGGGCGCCGCAGGAGCTGCAAGTCTCTTACCCTGCCTAGGAAGCAGGCCGGTGGAGGGGGGGAGAGGACGGCCATCGGGGTGCGAATCCAGTTTCCAGCCTCTGGGAAAACGTTGCTAATAATAAGGGTCAAATTAAAACGACTAAGCTCGTGGTGCTGGCAGCGACGCGCCGCACGGTCGTGGGAAGCCCGGCTATTAATCACCCATAACCAGCATTGCTTTTCTCACGTGGGAGAATGGGGCCGTGGGAAAGACCCCGGAGTTGCGCGCTGTTCTCAAGCCCCAGTGGTTCCGCAGAACGAATGGATTCCGCAGCCTCTTCCCCACCTCCCTGAGGCCCTCTCACTCGGCTGCACCACCCGAGAAGGCAGGGATTCGGAGAAAATGCGGTGTCACGTTCCCCACGGTGCCCGCTGACGCGTCTGCGCCAACTCCTGCAACACGTGGGGACCGCGAATCTGGGTGCCTGCTCCCCACTTGGGTGGTTATGTGGGTATAATTATACGATAATGTGTTATAACGAGACTGGAGGAAGTCTGTCCTTACATTGGATTCTCTCAAACTTTTGTCCAAAGGAATTTCGTACTCTCTTAGGGCGGGGAATCGGTTTCTAGCCGAGGTCGCCGCGGCGCTCAGCGGAGTCCAGGAAACCGCCGGGAGGAAGACCGAGGCCCCTTGTCTCTGGATGCTGTAGCCTCTGTTCGCCACTTCGGTCAGCCTAGCAACCCGTCTTTCGCCCTTGAGGGCCTATTCTAACAGGAATGTGACAGTGTGGAAGCCAGGGAACCTTGACCCATTGGTACCTGGGCTTCGCTGGGCATGGGACAAGTGGTGAGCAGGTTTAACCGTAAAGCTTCTGGCACAAAACCTAGGTAGGGAAGCTTTGAGGAAGCTGAGAATATAATCATTGTAAATTGGGTAGGAAAAGGGGGAGAAGTATCTGTTCTAAAAATAAAAGCCTTGCGGCCGTTACGTCCCCCACCCTACCCCCCCCCCCCCCCCGCTTCTCCAAACCACAAAAGGTTGGGGAAATCGCATCAGTAAAGTGTAAGTCCGTCGGGAAAAAAAATGCTCGGTTAAAAATCAACACCTCTTTAATAGGAAGATGGGTAAGTTTTCCATTTCCAGGTGTTAATGATACCACCACATTAAAAGGTTGATTGTGACAAGAGAATTGCAGCGCACAGGACGCAGACAGCATTTTCACAATCGAAAATCAGCAGTCTTCCTCCTTGCATTCACCCCCATCCGGCCGACTGGGGACCGGGAAGCTGTAGCGCAGGGTAGGCGGCGGGACCACTTGTTGCGGCACCGCCAGAGGAGGTAATTTCCAAGCGGATCTGCGGATCTGGCGGAGATGCAGTTAAAATCCTTCACCGGGATGCGGACGCTCCAGAAGCCGAGGCAGGCGGCGAGCACTGACTCAGTGCCTCGAGATGCGTGTGTGTCTGTGTTGGTGGTGGTGGTGGTGGTTTTTTAAAACTAGAACGCTGGACCATCTTTGCCTGAAATGCTTTGTCTTGCACGTCTGGGAATTTACTTTGTGCTGTTAAATGCTTACAGCGCGCGCGCGCGCACACACACACACACACACGCAGGGGGTCGCCCCGCTTGGGGGAAGGTGAGTGGCACAGATGCTTCGGACTTTCATGGACTCTGCCCTTGGGAAGCAGAGCGAGGGGGACGGCCTCGAACCTGAGTCAGGTAACTCGGAAAGGTCCTTCTCCCGCCGCTCGGGGAGTAGGGAGCTGGGGACCCAGGTACCGGGGCGGTCCAGGTGCCCACACAGCGCCTGCCACGGTGAAGGGCAGAGATGTCGGGAGGCAGCTCGGACAAGGGCAGGCGGGTTCTCGATTCATTGTCTACCAGGTCACGCTCTGTTGAGAAAATGCGCGATACCCGAGGGGGGAGAGGGAAAGAGGGGGGGAGAGGGAGAGAGGGGGTGGAGAGAGAGAAAGAGAGAGAGAGAGAGAGACCAAGTGTCCGTGCAGGGCCGACCCGCTCGCCTGGGGAGAGGGACGCGAGGCTCGTCCCCACTCGGCTCGCGCGGCCGTCTCACCGGCGCGGGCGGCCACTGAGACATTGCCTTCAGCGTCCTCCGGTGGCATCCTCCCGGGTTTGCGGAGCAAAAAGCCGAGGACTGTGGGTTTCGAGTGACCACGTCTTAGGGCCATAGAAAGCTGCCTCTGGGGTCTTGGGGACGGAGAGGTTAATAGAGTGACGAATTTGTCCTGGTTTTTCACATAAAATTAGGCTGGTAATACCGAGCACTTAGAAGACTGGTAAGAATTTGGAGGTGTGTGGGGTGAGGGCGGGAAGGGGTTAATGCTAGGTTTAGGACTACTATGGGAAATGCCCAATTTAAAGATCTCCCCATCTTGGGTCGCGCTCTCGGAAGCTCAACCCAAGTGGAGGCGCCGCTGCGCGGGCGGTCACCTCCCCGCGTTATGACACCTGGCAGTACCCTGCAACTCCCACGTCCCCGCGGCCAACCTCTCCGCGCCGGCCGGAACCAGCAAAAGTCTTTGCCCGCCCACGCCCCTTTAAACGGACTCTGCCTTTTCCTTTTATTCGGAGGACAGGTTAACGCCGACACGGACCGCAGTGTGGCCCGCAGGCACCACACCACCCGCCGCCGCCTCCCCCACGCCGGGCGGGGACTGCGGAGCTGCTGCGGCAGCAGGGCCAAAGCCTTCCGGTGCCTCCCGCCCCCTCCCCCCGCGGCCACACCTCAGTCGCGGACCGCCCCCAACCATCCCCGCCCCCCTTCCCTCCCCCGCGCGCTCGCGGCGCCAGCCCCGCCACCGGCGGATGGCAGTCAGACGCTGTGTGCCCGCGTTCGTGTGCTGGCACAGGGAACCGCACGCGACGGCGACCCCACCGCTGCCCCCAGCTCGGGGTCCACCCATGTAGAACCCACCGGCCCTCGCGGGTCCCCGGAGCCCGTCTCCGGAGCTCGGCTGCGGGTGCAGTTCTCCGAGCCCCTCGGCGCTCCCACCAGGCTCTGTCCATCCCAGTCTTTCCCCCATGCCAGGGTGTGGCAGGCAGGGAAGCCCCTTCGTCCCCGCCAGCGCTCCCAGACATCCCCGGACAAAGCCGCCGGGCTTCCCGCACCGGCGCGGGAAGGAGGCCCCCCGCAACGGGGAAGAGAGGCGCGCGGAGAGCGCCTCCAGGCGCCGGGCCTCGGTGCGGTCCCCGCCCCTGGCCTGTCAGCTGGGTGCCGGGCTGGGGCTGCGGGGGGCGCCTGCACGGGGCGGGCGCCGCACCCGCGGTTCCTCCAGCGCCGGCACCCGGTCGCCGCGGCGCCGCAGGAAGGAGGCCCAGCTGCGCGGGTTGCTCCACACCCACGTGCCTCGCGTGTGCGCGCCCCCGGCCCGCAGAAGCTACCCGGCTGGCGCCGCCGGGATTTCTGGGCGGCCCCACCCTCCCCGGCCGCAACGCTTCGCTCCTTGCGTTCGGAGTCTCCTTGGCGTCTCGGCTGCAGCGTCCAAGACCGGGCGCCGCCTCTGCCAGCCGGGCTGCCCAGCACGCCTGCGGGCCGCTACTCAGAGGCCGCACGTTCCGCGCGCGTCCCGCACTCACCTTTTCCTGTGCAAGGTGGGGTTCAGTCACTGCACCCCGGCTGTTCAGCCACCGCCCACGGCCTCCTGGAGAGTGCAGCACGAAGGCGTTCCTGAGGCGCCAGCACCCTCCTTAAACCCTTCCCTGTCTTTCAGCACAGCACCTTCGTCAGCTGGCCACCCTCCCCGACAGTAGGGAAGGCATAGCTCTCCCTCTGCTTTCTCTTTTTTCAGCATCACACCAGTGCCCACCTATAGACACACACACCTGAACACCACGAGGCCACGACCAAGATCGCTCTCCAACTCCTAATTCCAACACTATGCAGTGCACATCACGTCGCTGATAGCAAGGTGAGGGAGTGGCACTCAGGAGCTAGGTGGTTTCTTAAAAATTATGAAATAGATTTCTGCCCCTGGCCATGACATTTTTAAGAGGATTATAATTTATTTAAAAAAAATAAATAGCCCAGAGGAATTCACACTTTTAAAATAATATTAAAGTAGTTTGAGATTATCGTAGATTCACGTGAAGTTTCTTAAGAAACAATATAGAGAGATGTTGTGCCCCCTTCACCCAGTTTTCTACAATGGTAACAATTCCCAAAACTGTGGTACAATGTCATAACCAGGATATTGGCTTTGATCAAATCCACTGATCCTATTTAGATTTGCCCAGTTTTACTTGTACTCGTGTGTGTAGGTATTTAGTTCTATTCAGTTTTATCATATGTGTGGGTCCATATCCACTATCACAGTCAAGGTACAGAACCGCTCCATCACACAGGATCCCCCTTGTTGCCTTTTTATAACCACACCTGGGGGAGGGGTGTCCGATAACCACTAATCTGTTTTTCTATAATTTTGTCATTTCAAGAATGTCATATAAATGGTATTATAC